GTCGCCTGATTGCGGGTTACAAGGGAAAAAAATATCTAAAATGTAACTTACGTTTCACCGGTTTACCGAGTGCTCTGTTCAGAATCGGTATTTGATCACGATATGATCCATTATGCGTAAATTAAACGACGCTACATATCCTGTATACCGTTCGGACTATCCTAACCTGGAACAGTGGCCTAATGCGCTTAAAATGATGGAGCGAAGCGTCCGAAGGTGTTCACTGTGTATGTACAGCGATAAATTCAGCGGCGTGAGAACGGGGAACGTCAGGCACAACAATTGCGAGTACTTACTCGATGGTTTTATCACGAAATTTTAGTCGAGTAACAGGGGGGGGGGAGGGAAATATCGATTTTCGGATCCGGCGTTTAGATTCTCACAGTCGAGTCCGGCGCACAACGCCGGAAAATTTCGCGATTATTGTATCGTTTACTATACACGTCCCCTCCCATCGACGAATCCCGGACACACGGCGATAATATAATAAAATAATACGCTCACCGCGACCGGCTGCGGGCGAATAATATCACAACCACATGATAAACGTACCGCGGTAACAGTACAACCCGAATTTATTGTTGCTGTTGTTATTGTTATTAGCGATTTTCTGTACAGCACGGAACGGATATTATTCGAACACGCGCGTCGCGTCGAGCCGTCGCGCAAAGGTGTAGGCGCGAACGAAACGGCGGCGGATTAAAATTGTTTTATCGATCCGGGTATATAATAATAATTATTATTGGATTTACGAGTCGTATATATTATATTGTACGCGAACGTATTCACGTTACGATAAATTATTACGATTATTTTTTTTTTTTTTTTGCGCGTGTGTGGGGCACGTGCACAACTGTCGAACGTAATTATCCGGAGCGATAAAAGTCGTCCGTAAAGAAAACGTCGCGTTTCGGTACCTACACACCTATAACATATTATATGGCACAATAATATTATAAGTGGTAAACCAATAAAAATGTATAATCATAATAAAGAACGCTTTTTACAACACGCGGGCTCACAAACCTATATACGGATTCGGTGTGATTTTCGTTATAACAGCGACAACGGTGGGCAAATCGGAGCAATTAAATACATGCAAAAACATCAATCGGTTAAAAATGGACAAAACGAGTTCGAAATACGAAGAAATGTTTAAGTATAACTCGAGTATTAAAAAAAAAAAAGTTTTTAATTTTTTTTTTTTTTTTTGCAATAAAAAAATCTTGGTTGTACTCTTTACCTTTACCTTTCTATATCATATCGTTGCTAATTAATAACGTTATAAACTGCAAACACATTGAAATTTTCGAAAAAAATTTGACGGGTAGACATTGTACAGTACAAAATCCTAGTCGAGTTTAAAAATATTATAGTTCTTCAATGTGAGACGTACACACGAGTGAATTCGTACAAAATACGGACATTATGAGCAACAGGAGTAACGGGTTTTCAATATAATCGTAGGGACATAAAATTTCACCGAAAAACTGGTCAAATTTTCCAAGTATCCCGACGATTTTATTAAAACTAAATGGTCGTCTTTACAACACTGCGGCAGTCGTTCTGACTGTAAGTCTTTTTATACATATTATTTTCAAATAATATGCCGTATAATTTACGTATATAAATATAAACGGATAGCATATTTTATTTAATTAACTTAAATTATATTTTACAATATTCGCGTGTCTTCTCCGTCGCCCTTATCCCGTTTGAGGTTTCGGCCACCCTCGTCCTAAACTTCCACTCGACCCGATCCCCACACCGTTTTCGCATGTGCACACGCCGCCGTTCTCATACTATCGTTCTCAATCCCGTGCGACCGCCTCTTTTTCGGTCTTCCTCTTCCTCTCTTTTCACATACCAATTACAATTCCTGCCGTATCCGATTCCTCTTTCCTCGCGAAACGCCCGAACCATCTCGGTATCTGTCGTTTCGTCTAACATATCGAACGCCCTGCACCCACCTATGGCTACGCGCGTCAATACGTCTCGTCCGAGACGGGACAATCCGCTATCGAGTCTCGTTTGAAACTATTGTCGTACCGTATACGACCGACGGAATTCTCTGAGTTTTTTTTTTTTTTTTTAAAAAAAAAGAAAAAACAATTTATACATAAATATATTACGACGGTAATAACGTTTAACAGATTTGTTTTCTTTCCTCCGGTCACCCCGCACTCGGACAATCGCGACACCGCTACACCCGTACACCCGTGTTATTATGATAATGCGTACAACGGCGATTAACGACTGAAAGTAATACGTGTATCGTATTTTGCGCTTGTATACCGTACGCGTACTTTTAATACGTCGCGGAATTTATTATATCTCATTAAAAACGCAATGAGATTTTATAAATTTCATTACGGTATACCGTGTTTTGCGCCGCGGCCGTTTCCGATATAAAGCGCGGCGGACGGCGGGACGCGCGTGTCTGTCGGGAGTTTATGGGTGGGGGGGGGGGGGGGGGTGAGGCCACGCGTGCGCGCGTATAACGCCCGGCACGGAGACACGAGCGTAATAACAATATGTCGTACGACCCGACAATTAAACGGCGGATTTTTATTGTCGACGCGTAATAATCGCGCGCGTTTACGGGACAACACGGGCGCCCGTACGTATTCGGACGCGGGATTGTAACGGACATTACGCGCGTTATAAAATATCGCCGGGCGCGTATTCCTGCGCCCAACCAAACCTGACCCGACCCGAATAACACGCACACGGGTATATTGTCGTTATTACTCGTAATGTGCGAATCGTTCGCGCGCACTCGAAAGCCGTTCGAAAACCCGTGTGTCGCGCGCGCGCGCGCGCGTTTCGGCGGCGTACGGCGTTTCCGCGTGGATTCATACGGACGGGTTCGCGATGTATTACCAATAAACGTGTTGTTTAAAACGTCGTTTTTAGCGGTAAAACGAATTTAAAAAAAAAAAAAAAAAAAAATAAATAAAAATAAAAATATAAGCGGGTACATTATAATATCGCGATTCGACGCGGTACGAAACGCGTAACGTAATAACGAATTCGCATACGCTCGACTCTGCTCTCGAGTTTTTTTTTATTTTTTTTTTTTTTCCCCCCGCGCCGTCACCGCCGTATCAAAAACCGTATGTTTTTATTAATTTCCGCACCGCAGTTTTTTCGTTCTATAAAAAAACGTTTTCTATTATACGTACCTGTACATTTTCTATGGCCCATTAGGCACCATTATACACAGGTACTCGTATATACGATTATATATATATATATATATATACATATTTATAGCGACCGTACATTGATAATAACGTTTATAATATTATTACCTAAAACGGATATTTATATTTATTTTTTACATTTTTTATGCAAATTTTAATTTATTCATTTTTTGCAATATAAATTTATTCGTTTAAAGCCGAACGCCCATCGTCCCGTAATGTATATATATTGTTGTAAAATATATTTTTAACGTCGACGGAGCGAGTTAGGCGAATTTATGTTATACGTCTCGCAGAAAGAGGCATTACCCCGGTTTCCGTTAAAAATCAAAAGCATTAATCCACTATATTTTTCGGTTTATATTGGTTATTATTTACCGTATGATAATTCTTTTTTTTTCCCCTATCTGTATAAAACCTTTTTAGTCAAACGTACGAAGTGCTCGATTAGGTTAGGTTAACGTACGCGTTCCCTGTTTTAGACAATAGACAGTACGATGGGACGTTTTCAGTATAAAAACTTTTAAACCGGAAATCTCGCTCTAATCGAATGAAATAAATATTACGGACGTACTTTACACGATTGCTGGCCCACTATTGTAGGTGAGAAGTTAGGAATGTAGGATATAGAGGGGATTTCGATGTACGCAAAGAATAATTGATTTCGTACATTTTCCAGGTTTTTACTGTTTATTATGAAAACCCGCGGGAAAAACAAAAAAAATACCCTTCTTGAAGTACGACCATCCCAGTTAAATTTTCTTTCAGACAAGATATGCTACAATTGAAAATCAGAGCAAAATTTCTGGTAGAAAATTTGTCCACAGAAAAAAAAAATAAACGTCATTTCAAAATCAATAAATTCCTCGTTTTGCTCAGAATCGAAAATGAAAATATGTATTTTCGGAACGTTTTTGCGAGTTTTGAGTTATTTAGAGCCATTTAAAAATGTCGATTTTTTTTAGTTTTTATTTGCATAAAATTGTTTTAGCCAATCAAAAATACTCGACAATTTAACACGGGATTAGACATACGTTTTTCGTATGACAAATTGGCACGTGTAGCGTATCAGATTTCGCGGGAAATCGAAAAAAACAATGACCATTTTGCTTCACTATATACTATAACGTTGAGATTTATGTAATGAATTGTAAATGTTTATGACTTTCACTTTAATAATTTTTCGTTTTACTATGATTTATCGTTGCACTTACTGCTGCAGTTTATTATAAACTGATTATTTATGCATAGGATACATTATTATTCTACCTTCCGGACTTCACGCCTACAACAGTGGCTTACCCATAAACAGTAACATATATACTTTTTTAGAGATCGGAGACGAAGCGAGGAATGTATTTTTTGAGTTTTTATCGCGTTGAATTCAATATAGATAAACAATACGAGTGGGTACTTATACACTGTTATTGACCGTGGCAGCCGTCTGAAAAACAAAATCAAACGGAACTCCGTAGTGTACCCTAATATTATACAGTATAATATGCATATTTTATGGGTGGGCAAATTATCGTTTTCAACCGCAATATTGTAATGCACGACGTTTTGTACGAAAATAATCGTTTATCGGATTGAATACACAAAATATTACAATAACAATTTCATCGTAACCGTACAGTTATACGCATCTATAGAAATCCGTATGTCATACCTATTGTATCATACAAGATGTTACACACTTGTTATATTATGCTCATCGATCTTCTAAACGTTTGATTGTGCAGTCCCTAATCAGATACGACCGTCAAACAATCTATTGGTATTTCAGAGGGAGGCGTTTCGAATCCCGACGGTCAAAATGCCATTACCCGAATCCCGGCGGTTCGAAAAACTGACCGAGTCTAAACACCGACAGTTAAAATCTCGACGGATAACGATCACCGAGTTCATTCCGTACATTTGAGTACACGTTAAAATTATAAACACGGCCACACGGGTATCGGACAGTAGCCGATTAGCGGGAAAAATTCTCGTCGTTAAGGCGGCGGTTGAATGTAAAAAAAACGAATTTTACACGGCGGACGAAAACGATTCGGAAAACCGTTACCGGAATCGTCCCCCTCGAATGTCGAGTGACGACCGGAATGACTGACACAAATAAAAATATTGCGTTCGGTTCCGATACACTTGTCGTCTCTCGCTTGCGATTTATCATTACGCCGCTCGTAGTCATTACACCTACCATACGATATAATACAGGCGAGACTCGTTTACAACATAATAATATAATACGGACGAGGCAGTGTCAGATTTCTTTCGGGGACATTATAAAAAAAAAAAAAAAAAAAAAAATAATAATAATAAAGTACATAATATTATAATAATAGGTATTATACCTGCAGTGTAATATATAGGTAACAGCTGCGGCGTATAACACGCAGTCCGCGTGACATATGACTGGCGACGGTACACAACGAAATGTACACGTATCGCACGTCACGGCGATATCCCTTTGACGACTCGTTTTTCTTTTACCGTGTAATAAATACATATATACATATACACGTATAGGTATACGAACACGGAAAATATATTACGTTTTAATACGAACGGCGCGCGCGAGATTTGCGTTTAAAAAAAAAAAAAAAAAACACACACACGACGTTATGAAAACGAAAAACAATAAAATATGTTTGATCGCGTTCAATTGCGCGCGATTTCGTTTCTCATCCGCTGCCGCTGATTCGTCCGTCGAGCTTATAACGCGAACGCGTCGTGGTGTCGACGACGGTGTAATATTTTGTAGCAACACGTTCGAAAGCGCCGAACGCATCCGAACACAAGTTTGTCGGCTTTTCTATTTGTGCACCTGGTTTTGCACGCCGCGTAAATATCAATCTCTTGCGGTCTAGGAATTCTCGCGCGATCCGCAGTAAACCGCGTTTACGGTTATCGCTTCGAAACCGTGTCTCCCCCCCTCCCCCGTCCGTTTGGTTTTCGTCAATTAAAACGGCGATAAAAAAACATTTTACTAACTCCGTCGAAATGAAAACAACACATCGTATTTTCGAGCGATTGTTATCGCGTTATTATTGCGCGGAAAACAAGAACAATATTTAGTTCACACGGTATACCGAAAGCAAGGGCGCCCGCAGCCCCGCTATTTTAGTTAATAAAAAATATTAATATTGTTTTATCGCCTGCGTGGCTTGCATATTTAAGCCGTGATTGCTTGTAAGTTGTAAGTTGTTGAAAAAAAGTCATATACTTTTGACTTTACCCACCCCCCACCCACCAGTTTATATTTCTGCGGGCGCCCTTGACCGAAAGCAAAGATGAAAAATATCACCGTACAACCAAACAGACGATTTTTAGACGGAGCTCGGTAGTGTACACACAGCATTATTTGAAAATGCAATACGTTTGTTTTGCATATATTATATTCGTTTTGCGTATTATTTTAGACGTATATTTTTTTTCCCGTGCATCGCGCGCGCGCACGCGCCTGTGTGTGTGTGTGTGTGTGCGCGCGCGTGCGTACGTTTTGTTTATTCGGGCTCCTTTATTATGCGAGTAACTTCCGAGCCCGAGATCGATTACGTTTGTCTACGATCGTTCGATTGACGGTTTGTTTCTCGGAAACACTACGGTCTGTCAAACTCTGGTTTTTTACTTTTATTTTTTTTTCTTATGTATACAGTTTAGGTATGTATATGCATACACAATAACCGTCCGAATTTCTGTTGCGGCGTCGGCGGCGTAACGATGATGGAGCCGTTCCCGGGGCCCGCGCCGAGCACAATATTATTAAAAAACGATTTGGACGCCGCTCGGCCGTTATAAATTCTATATAAATATATATTATAAAAAATAAAATATGTATTAAGATTTCGGACACCGTATACAATAATAATAATAATAATATAATATAATATAGTAGGCGGCTTTTCACACGGTCGTAGAAACCGTGGTACGCTCTTCGCGTCTATATATTGTACAATATAGCATACGCTTCTTTTTATCTCTCGCACACACACACACACACACACACACACCGCGCACTATATTATATTATTGTGCGAGCGCACATTGTGTGTGTGTGTGTGTGTATGTGTGTATTGAGATTATTTTTCCATTTGTAAAGAACCGAACTGATTATTTCGTCAGCGCGCCCCGGCGAAAGACCCAGGCACTCGACCGGCCGTCGTCGTCGTCGTCGCCACCGCCGCCGCCGCCGTCTCTCCCGGCGCGCGGGATGACTAGGCCTCTTTTGTGCGTTCGGTGCCTCTAAATGTTTCCCTCCTCTTCTGTATACACGCACCACACTAAATAACCGCTACTAGACGATACAATATTTTATAATACACTACTACGCGCATAATATTATATCTATACGTAATATAGGTACACGTATGTGTGTGTATAGGTGAAATCTCCCGAACGATTAAATCGCCTTTTTTTTTTTTTCTCCTCTTCTATCTATTTCTCTTCCTATAGCCCTCTCCTCCTCCTCCTCCTCCTCCTCCTCCCTCTCCTACTCCTCCTCCCACCCTCGTCTCGCGTTTCCCTCGCGCATCTCTCGCTCGCCCGGACGCCGCGCACGCTCTTCTCCGTCTCGCCGCGCCTATATACACGCGTACATCTCCGCCCGCATAATATAATAATAATAATATAAAAGCGCGATACACAATAAATACACTTTTAAACGTCACTCTCGCGCGCCCCGACGTCCGTCTAAAATACGAATGTAGAATACGGAATAAAGACGGACGGAATAGAAACACACACACACACACACACACGTCGTAACCGTCGGACGAACGTTTAGAAAGAATAATAATAATAATAAAAAAAAAAAACGAGTGGCAAACCAGTAGCCGACGGATGGCGTGCCGTTTTACGTGTGTGTGTGTTATATATTTTATTATTATTATTTTTTTTTTTTTTTGTTCACACGACTCGCGAGGACGGTGCGCGCGCGGGCCGATATGCGTTCGAAATAATAATACGAAATCGCCGGGAACCGCGCGCGGCACGCGATGTCCGAAAAACTTGTCGTCGCCGCCGTGGGAATCGAGCCCGAGACCGAAAAAACCTATCGGTCACCGCGTCCTCCGGCCATCCGAGACACATTGTTTTCCGCGTCGTCGTCGGTTCGCAATTATAATTATTATTTTTCATATTTTTATATTATACACATATATCTACTCGTTTATGATTTTTGTGTCCATACGAGAATTTGAATATTCGCCATATTTCGCAGTCACGTATATTATTATTATTTACTCGGTTTTTTTTTTTTTTTTTTTTACTATGCGTGTTTTTTTCTCGAAATCGTCGAGAGTATAAACGGGGAATTTATAAAATACTCCTCGTTCGTTTGCGCACGCTATAAATATAAATAACGTACAAAACGCGATTGTTAAATATTAACGTATATTTAACCATATGCCAATATGGTGTGGAATATTCCCCTCTATCGTTCCAAAAACGTTTATATTGATCAAAATTAATAAAAAAAAAAAAAAATAACCTACACCTTTAGTTATATTTTTCCGTTAAGAATTGTAATAAACGTGGAAGAAAGAGGAGCAAGGGAAGACCAAAGGCGGGAGTATGTGAAAATAATGTGTGGGATCGCGATTCAAGCGAAAGTTTAGGGCCACGGTGGTCGTCCTCAAATAGCCGGGATGAAGGCGTGGAGGAGAAGTTCGCCTAGATTTATTTTTTCAATAAATTGTAAAAAAAAAAAAATGAACGATCACGCGGGCCTGATTCGATTTTTTTGCAATTTTAACATGCGCATTCGCCATAAAGTAGTTTTCCCCAAAACGAATTGAATTCAATTAATGCATTATTTCCAAATACACTAGATATTATATAGGTTTTGAATATTAAACGTATACGTGATCACAATAATTAGCGATGATAAATAAATCTGTTTTGTGTCATATTCGGATGACGGTTTTTTTTTCTTTTTTTTTTTTTTTAGCACGTGTCACATCGTTACCACGACCGCGGTAACGATGTAATGATGTAAGTCATGTAGGGTCTAGATCGGCGGCTGGTAAGACCCGTGTCGTACGTGGTCACCGTTGGAGGCGACGAACAAAGAAGGGAAATGAACGGTGCGCCGAACCCGGGTACGCGTTCGAGTGCGAGAGAGCGGGCGGGATGAAGACTATACGAGATAAAAATCACCGTGAGAAACCGAAGAAGTCGCCGTACAATAATAATTGGCCTAAATCCGAACAGTTGCGCATTTATATAAGGTGGAAGGGGAATAGAAAAAAATTGTCTTTTTTAAACAGTACCCGAGCTTTCTCTCGCGCTTTTGCAGAGTTTTGACTTCAAATCGCATATTCCGCGTATAAGTACAGCCGTAAAAAAAACCATTCAATGTTTGTTTTACATTCTGAGTGAAGCGAAACAATGATACATATATCATGTTTACTATAATGTGGGTATTTTTATTGTATTTTTGTAAACCAATTTTCTAAATCACGCTCCAATCAATTTTATGTCTAGTCGGTGCATTTGGGAGGTCATTGTTTTATTCACCTTGTAGCTTTTTCAATAAATACGAAAAACTGACGGTTTTTTTTTTTCTATAACACTTGTCGATTTCTGGATTACCTTTTCAACAAGGGGAAAAATACGACTGACAATTCTCCACTCCAAATCGTTTTTCGTTGATATTGATTAAGTTACATAACCTCGTCGTGAACATAAAATATAAATAAAATTACTCTAAATATCCTCCCTGCCAAACTCCGTAACTTCCCCTCCTAAAGTAGTGGCACACCCATCAGCAGTATCTGCCTTTTTGATTTTCGAAATAAACTAGCAGCCACTGTTTTAAATGGGAAGTTGGGGTAGTTAGGCTACAGACGAGAATTGAATGTATATCTGTAAACAACGATAAACCATTGTTAACGAAAAAACGATTCTGGGCCATGTCCAGTTGATAATGTTGCTTTATCAACAATCCATGGTATTTATGTTATATTATGGTAAAATGATTAAAACAATGTGCGTTTCCACGACAACAATGATTGTTAAAAAAAGATAAATTAAAATAATAAAAAATTAATAATAACAAAAAATAAATGAAAACGGTTGCCAACGACAACCTTATTTTTAATCTTTCAACCTTTCTTAACCTTAAGACCGAGGTTTTTCTCATTATCTTAAATATAATTGAGAATTTCAAAAAATGGTCTCTCTAAAGTACCATTCAGAGAAAAACGTGTTAAAATTGAAAACCGAAGTATGCTTTCTGGTATAAAACTGTTCACGTAAAAAAAAAAAAATAAAGAAAAAATAAACACCATTGTAAAACGTATATATTTCTCGTTTCACTCAGAATCGAAAATATAAAGTTGGATATAAATAGGTAGTTAGAGAACCACCGAATTAGATAAAATTATAATAATATACTCTTTTAGATAAAATCTCGTGACTTTTGGGCGATTGTAAATTGTTTTGTGTAGGGACAAGTTGCAGATCGCCGGCCTCCCGTTAGGATTATACATTGATGCGATAACGCAAACCGATTATATATTTTTATGTTTTGTTTGATATTTTTCTTAACATTTTTTTTTTCCGATTATTTTTTTTTTTTTTATCGACGTTGGGCGTTTACATCATCGCCCGGATAATTATAGCGCGTTTACACGGCCGCCGTCACGTCGTCGTCGTCGTCATCCGCCGCGGCAGTGCGTGAGGTACTTTTCCAAAGTAGGACGCA